CTGAAGTAGCTAGATTTTTCTTTTTTCCTGAGGTGTAAGATAAGCTGTGCATATCCAACTCGGACAGAACGACTCCAAACGAGAACATGTCGGCCTTCACGTCGCATCTTCCGCCCAGCATGACTTCTGGAGCCATCCAAAGGGAGATGCCCTTTCCGAAGCTGAGCCATTCGGGTCCAGTCTGCTCTTGTAAGTTATCAAGCCGGAAGCGAATCCACCCAAACACGAATTCGTGACGCGAAACCCGACGGTAAATTCGTATGTGGAGCAGCTCTCGTCAGAATTCAAGTCCTGGATAATGTACCCCGAGCTGCCAAAATAATTGCGTATATGAAGGTAAGGGTAGGATCGTAGGAACGTAAAGAAGAAGAAGAATGTGAGGTGGAGCCGCCAAAAGGCGAAGTAAAGTTTATTAGTTGAGAGAGCTCCTGCCAGAAAGCAAGAGATGGCTGGTGCGGAGCATAATACTATGGGAGACTGTATAACATACTACATACCACAATAACAGCTTTAAGAGGTACTGAGTAACTGGCTATCAGCTTTTAGGGAACACTGTGCCATCGGTTAAAGAGGTTACTTCAACTCTTTAGATCGAGTTTTGCCCAACTAATATTATGCAGTTTAGCAGGTCACCAGAAATAGTGACAGGTGATTCCTCAGTCTCCAAAAAGACCAGTGCCGTGGACGCCCGCGTTTGTTGACGGTCCTTTGTGCTCGTAGTTTTGCTACGAGTGAAGGACCGTCACGCTGGGCACGCCATGGCCCGCGTCTTGGAGTTAGGCATGAGGAGGGCGCCGCCCTTGGGTTCGCGCCAGTGGGCTGGCGCCAGCAAGGTCACTCAAGAAGCGGACGAACATGTCGCGACCGAGGTATGAAGCATGAAGATGCCCAGCGGGCTGCGGCAGTGAGCACAGCGCTCTTGAAGGCTTGAGAAGCAGTGAAGGAATGGCTGCGGGGGCCAGGGCGAGCAGGGCCGCGGGGGCCAGCGCAGTGGTGGCGCATCAACGTGTGGTGTGATGTCACTAAAGTAAATTTGTAAATAGTGACACCCGAGAAGCTGCTGTTACCGAATGATGCTGTTGCAGACTAGCCAGTTGCTAATAGCGACTGTCGATACATAGACCTCTTGCCTCAAGACGCTGATAGTAGCTCGAGTGTACGCGGCCGTGGATGTACGCGTCTCGGAGATGTCTGCTCTTAGCTTAGCGCCTCCTACATCGAGGAACGCATCCTACAGTAGTGCTCGATGATCATGAGCAACATGATAATCATGCTATGACGTAGTTACGTCGTCGTCGTAAGGTATGCAAATGTTCATGGGTAGTTAGTTCATCATGATTAGCTTAGCGGTTTGCGCTGGTGCGATGATTATTGCATTGGCTTGGCTAGTCAGGAAACCTGATTAAAGGAAAATTCTGTTCACCAGGCCAGTATAGATTACGTGCAGTCACCGCAGATTTGGCCTTGCGTGTTTAATTGAGGCTAGTCAGGAAACCTTGCAAGGAAGGAGAAAACCTGTTCACCGTTGGTAAGTGTGCTGCAGAATATCACGTTGCAATGAGTGGCTATTCAGGAAACCTAATGAGGATAAAACCTGTTCACCTTAAAATTGTTGGCAGTATTAGCGTTGCATTCTTTTGATTTAGCAGATAACGTTACTGTTTGTTTGCAGTAGTTTAGCTTTGCTTTTGGTGATGCAGTTGGAATTCATTGCAGTATCATGACTACTCAGGAAAACCTAAACTAGGAAAAACCTGTTCGCCGTCGTACTCATAAGATAACCATGAAGGTTCAGGAGGTTGTCGTCTCACCCGCATATTATGGTTGAAAAAGGGGCTATGGCTTCCCATATTCACAGATTAATCTATAGAGTGGGCTTGTCCACTCTAGTGACATTCGCCTTTCGACGTGTTAATGTCGCTATACTTCTCCACTAGGCTACCACACACTGTTCTTGCTTTCAAATGGGTTTACATCCATGTCGCATCAGACAGAAGCTTACATTGCAGATTGAAACGTTGCATGTAGTAGTTCAATAATACGCAGTCGTAGTTGTGGTAATAGAGAGTGCACTCGTTCATTGTCTTACAGATAGATGGTGTGCAGTGGCAAGTTGGTTTCAAACATCAACAATGTCTACCGGTAGTCTGGGATAGACAGAGGCTGTATAAGCTTGTCGTATTTATTCACGGAAATATACTTGG